TTCCCCCTTGTCCTGTTCCTCCATCCCTTGTCCCCAGTCCCTCTCCAGCTCTCCTGGAGTTCCTTTAGGCACTGAAAGGGGCTCTGAGGTCTCCCCTGAGCTTTCTCTTCTCCAGGCTGAACTCCCCCCAGCTGATTTACACTTAGTCTTTCAGCCTTGGGGCCAGGAAGAACCTTCCAGTGTTTGTGATCACTGGGAGCATCCTCTGGTCACTGTCATTTATTTAACACACACGTGAGATGAGCCCAGAGCCCTGAGTGGCACAGACCCCGTGGGGAAGGGAAGCCATGGAGATGAGCAGTGCCCTATCCCAGAGGGACACTCCTGCTGGGTCTCACACCAGCTGAACATTCCTTGCAGGTATTTGGCTCAGGGCAGTCCTCAGGGGCTGCTCAGCATCTGCCTCTCCAGCCCAGCTGCTGGGTGGCCCTTCCCCAGCAGGGAGTGTTTGGGGTTGAATCTCTTAACACTGAAGAAGAGGCTGGTGCCAAGGAGAGGAGGTTGGTTCCACAAAGCCAGCAGCGAGGGGGTACCAGCCAGAACAACAACAGAAAAACAGCCCTAATTAGGGGAAATGTACTGGTGGCTGGAGGGCTTTTTGCTTCCTTCACTTCCAGGACCTGGCTGCTGGAGGATCCTGTTATCTCAGTAAATATTGCTAATAATTGAGGTTCTGTTTGCCTTCCACATCACTGTCCAGCTGCCAGGAGCATTTAAAGATGTCCATGTCACTCCTTACTCAGAGCCAGTGCTAGCCTGGGGTGTCAGTCCAGCACTGGAGAATTCTGTGTGGGCTCACTGATTAATCAGGGAAATGCAGGGTGGGACAGAGTGCAGAAAAACTTCTAACAGCTCATTTAAAGAGCTGCTGAATGCACAGCCCAGGAGCACCATCATTTAGTTGAGTTTCTTTATGCTGATGTGCTGTAAATGGACTTTTCCAAAGGGCAAGGAGCAGACCCCAAGGTGTCCCTTCCCATCCAGGCAGCCCACAGCTATGGAGAATGGATTAATGCCTGTCCAAGGCTGGTTTAAAAATATTCAACAATTCCTGTATTTTGACAGAAAATGAGGGGTTTGGTGGGGAGCAGCTTCTCATGGTTTCTTTGGAAAGTTTTGTCTGCAATGAAGAGAGGGACAGCTGAGGTGCTGAAACCTTCTGCCCACCCCTGAAGGTCTCCAAACAATGTCCATTTGGGGATAATCTGTCTGGACACCCATTCTCTAAGCAGCTGCATGTCATAGAATCACTGAGGTTGGAAAAACTCTCTAGGACCATCGAGTCAAATCATTAACCCAGCACTGCTGAGTTCATCCCTAACCTGTGTCCCCAAGTGCCACATCCACCCAGCTTTTAACCCCTCCAGGGATGGGAACTGCACCACTGCCCTGGGCAGCCCATTCCAATGCTTGACCAACTTTGCAGTGAAGTAATTTTTCCTGACATCCAACCTAAACCTTCCCTGGTGCATCTTGGGGCCGTTTCCATCCGGTTCTCTGTTCCTACCCTTGTGGGCTTGAGCCATCCTGGATCCCTTCTTCATTTTAAGCTTTCCAGGGATGTGTGGGTTAACTCCATTTGCATGGCTGTCAGGAATAACCCCCCTTGCAACCCCAAACAAGTCTTCCTATTTATATCCCTGGTTTAATCAGGAAGGCTAGTGCTTCCATAGCTACGTGATTAAAAATTAGGAGACCGGATTCTGTAGTGGTGCCTTATAATAACAACCAATCCTGGGAGCACAGTGGATGAATAATGGATCATGGCTCTGTGCTACCAGCTTCTTGCCTTCCCTTCTTTCTTCTTCTCCCCTTTTTATCTTCCACTCTTCTCTTCCTCCTCCTCCTCCTCCTCCTCCTCTCCCAGGCTGGAGTTGAAATGGGGAAGGAATACATCCATCCTTCATTTTGCAGAAGTTAGAGAGACAGCACTGATTCCTCTTCATCAGACCCTCCTCCCCAGCCACATCCCCTCTTAGGGAGCCTGGAGACATCAATATTTCAGGGCTATGTGAGAGAATTGGGGGATCATAACCACTTCCTTGGGAAGACATAACCAGGACCCCTCCTTTCCTCGTTGCCATAAACAGCTCCCCAAATCTGGCTGCTGCTCCAATAGAGAGAAACCGGAGCAAAACAGTAAAAAACAAGGATTTTTGTCCCTGGGCAGACAAGTGGTTCCATGTTTGTCTGCATGATGTTGTCCCCTATGCCATGATATCCCCTCGTGGGCAGCTAAGCGATAGGTGGATTGTGTTGCAGGGGTGATGTTGCTGCAAGAATACCAGAAAAAAGTCAGGAATATCAAACATCCCACCATAAAAGTTCTTTCATAAATTCCAGTTCTTCAGAGAAGGGCCTGTGGGTTGGGTTTTTTGCCCTGCTCCACGAGATGAATTGTCAGTATTTTACAAGCCGAGGTCAAATTCAATTAATGGCTTCACTGAGGGGAAAAGAACTATTGAAAAATACCAGACTTGTTTTTAAACAGTATAAACTCATCCAATGAAAGGGTGTTTAAAAAAAAGAAATTAAAATGAATCCTTCCTTAATAGTTAAAACATCAGAACAGAGCAGAATCGTTCACATTTTCGTATTTTGCTGACAGACATTTCAACAAACCCAAACCACAGATTTTCACTCCTTTTTCCACCCTTGTAGCCCGAGGGGGGAAAAAAAAAAAAAAGTACATTTTGGATCCGTGTAGAAAAGCTTTTTTTTTCCCCAGTCCTTGAGTTCCACCCACTGAGCTGAAAAATCCCATTACTGCCAGCGCTTGGCAGCTGTGTGTGTGCCCAGCCGAGGGTGCCCTGCCCGCCAATCCTGCCTCTGCACCGGCAGGGAACGTAATCCCTTCCCATCTCCCACATCCAGCCCGGTGCTGGAGGAGCCAGGGAGGAGTTTTTAAGTGTTTCTCGTCCAACTCCAAGGCAGGGACAGCTCAGGAGCAGGGACAGACTCGGGGATTTCGGAGAGGGCTTTGGCGTGGATGTTGTGCGGCTCAGCTTGGGAAGGGGGAACAGCACTGACCTGGAACAAAACCAGCTCCTCTTTGGTGGGAAATTGGCACCTATCCCCCTGCTGCAGCCCCTCTGGAAGGATGCTGGAGGTAGGAGGGTTTGCCTGAGCGGGGTGCGAAGCAGAAATTTCTTCCCACGTCCTGTACTAGCACGAGCTGTTCTGCTTGGGCAAGAGAGGCTGAAGCAGGGATGGCTTCCCACTGTGTCTTGACATTCCTCATGGCTTCCCAATCCCTCGGGCTACAGGAGCTCCCAAACAGGCCCTACATGGATCTGTAGCAAGACCAACCTTTGGTTTCCCAAAGCACATGGTTGGGAAGAGCTAAAAATACCTTTGGATAGCGATTTGGGCCTGAAGGGCTCTCAGCAGGGTGGGTTCCCAGCAGCTTTGGGCAAAACGTGGGCCAGGAGGTTCCCTGCTGTTTCCTGGGAATGGTTTCATTGCATCTTTGAGGCTGGGAATGCTGGGGCAGAGCCAGGGAGAGGGAGGGTTGAACTTGGGTGTCACAGAGCAGAAGTTAAAGTTCATTTGTCTTATGAAGTCAGGAACTTTTTATCTCCTGGTGAAACAGCCACTGATGGTCAGTAAGACCACATGGTTCACTCCTGCAGAGCACACTCTGGAGCAGGCTGGAGTCCCCATCCCTGGAGGGATTTAAAAGCTGTGTAGATGTGGCACTTGAGGACATGGGTTGGTGGTAGGCTTGGCAGTGCTGGGTTAACTTTTGGACTCGATGATCTTAGAGGTCTTTATGATTCCATGAAGAGCTGCACTGACAGCTGTACAGAGCTCTCCATCCCCAGAGCAGACTCCTCATGGTAATGGAGATGAAAGCTCTTCTCAGCAAGATTAAAGCCCAGTCCCTCTCTCCATCTGGATTTCCCATCTCTTACCACACTGGGGATCCTTAGACATGCCAGGCTAGTCCCAAAAGAGGAGACCATGCTCAGGTGCCCCTCACCTGCTTCCCTATTTCCACCCCTCCCTGTCTCTGGCATGAAATGCTTCCCAGCACAGTGAAGATGCCAGGGGGGGCAAAGCCCTGTCCTGTAACTGCAGCCTCACACTGTCAGGGCTGTCAGTGCTTCCAAAGAAGGCTGAGAACCCAAATGTCTCTGTGACGCCCCTGGCAAGATCTGCTTTCACAGAGGGAGATGCTGAGGAGCCTCTCCATGTCAGAGGCAGGGTCCCCCAGCCTCCTGTGTGTGAAAACAGCACGGACCACGAGTGGGAGTGACAGGGAAATCAAAGCAGGGCAGGGAGTGCTCAGGGGTTCCTCCATCCCTCCGTGACCAAGGGCTGCCAAGGGAGCCCTCTTCAAAGGCAGGAGGCTGGAAATCAGACTCTTGATGCCCAGAAGAAGTTATTCCCCTGGGTGCTATAGGTGACAATCCAAATCCAGCTTTTCTTTCCCTTCTGCCCCAAATACCTTCACCTTCCTCCCCCTTTGCAGTCAGAGGAACGAGGGTCACACCTAATCCCCTCCAAACCCCACATGCTGTGTCCAGCAGCAGCCAGAGATCCCTGGGGAGGAGTGAAAGAGCAGGAACAGCAAGCAGGGATATTTATTTCAAGCAGGGAGGCTGCTTTCAAGTACTCACCATCCTGCTGCAGCTTGCAGCTCAGGGACAGCCAGGGCTTTGAGGATTTAGTAGCTCTTGGTGGATTTATCTACCACAGACCTGATCCCTCCCATTCCTGCAAAGCTCCCAGGCACCTGACCCGTGTCCCCTCGACACTTCACCAGTTCCTGCTGCTGGAGTTTAAATTTGGGGCACAGTTTTCACGTGAGCAGCAAAAGACAAGTGGCTGTAGTGTGAGGAGAGGGGGTTGGATGCTGCCACAGCCACATCCAAATGATCTGCAGAGGTTTGAGAGGTCACAGGCCAGTCCTGGCAGCCCAGACCCCACAGGTGACTCCAGGAAGGTTGGTTTCATGCCTCAAATGACATTGTCTCCTCTGGGCTCTTTCTCTGCAGTTCCTCCAGATGATCCTGTCATTATGGGGGGGCCCATCATCAGCCTGAGAGCAGGAGACCCCCTGAACCTGACCTGCCACGCAGACAATGCCAAGCCAGCAGCCTCCATCATCTGGATGCGGAGAGGAGAAGTCATCAATGGAGCCACCTACTCCAAGGTGAGGCAGGATGGGGCTGGGGATACGGGCTGTGCCCTTCCCTGGCTTCAGAAAGGGGTACCAGGCCTGGCACTGCTTCAACACTGCCCCAAAACATCTGGGGCAGTACCCTCAGCTCTGCAGAGCTCAGGCTCTCACCCCATGAAGCCTTCCCGATGAGAGGCTGGGAGGAAAACAGTCAGGAAGACGCACATGAGGAATCCCAAACTGTCACCAAAAGGAGCTCTGCTCTGAATTTGGCTTTTTGTACCTTTTTGTAATCCCCTGGCATGGCCAGTCCTCCCCCTTCCACCTTCCCTGGGTGTGGTGTTGGAGCTGTGTCCACAAACACCGGCCCAGCACAACCTCTGGCTCCAAAGGTGGTTGCTGTGATGCACGTGTCCCCCTCCTCCCACTGCAATTTCTCATGAAAAATCATCAGGGCTGTTGGCATTTTTTAATTTAGACAGAAAGCCTTTATTGGGTCATAAAGGAAATCATCAAAGAGCATCAGCAGCACATTCAGCTGGGCCCCCACATGCTCTCCTGTTTACGGGCGCCTGATGTCTGGGGAGCTCGAGAGAGATTCGGTAACACTTGACATTTCTAAGGAAAATTTCTAAAGAGCAAAAATCCCAGCCCTAAAATGGGTCAGTTTGCAGCCATTTGTAATGCAAGCAAACTTCAAAGGCGGCAGCCAGAGCCGTTCCTCGAGCTCCCGGAGATCTTTAATAAACATTCCACCCTCTGCCGCCTGTGGAGCCTCCACCCAGCCCCGTTCCAGCAGCACCCCGATCTGCCTGGGACACCAGAGGAGCCAGAACACCCTCCTTGCCTCCTCCTCCTCCTCCTCCTCCTCAGTACCTCGGCTGAAGCTGAGCCACTTCCCTGCAGCCCACGGAGCAGCAGAGGGGGAACTGCCCCATCTCCCTGTGTGCCGTGAGAGAGGCAGCACTAATTAAAGCCAGAGAGATCTGACCTCTCCCTCTCTCAAATCAAGTGGAATTAGTTAAAATCCAGGCCGTTGACGTGCAGTTGTTTGCAGCTCATTGCCTTCCCCTGCACTGCAGACTGACAGGCCCTGGGCAGGCAACTTTTGAGCCCTTTCCCTTTCAGACCCACAAGCAGTGGGGAGCAGGGGAGGAGGAATGTCCCTGCTTTAAAATATTTCCAACAAAAAAAAACCCTTCCAAAGCAGAGCTTTCCAGGCTGCAGCTCCACCTCACACACAGCACAGACATTTCCATGGCATTTTAAGCAGCTGGCAGGGATGGGCTGGGAGGGGAGCCCTGTTCTGCACAGGGGAGCATCTTCCACTCCTCCTGGACTCAGGAAAACTTCTCTTTCTGAGAGGCTTCTCTGTTTCCCTCTGACTTGCTGGAGGTTTCCATGAGGCCCTTCCACATTAAAAAGGAAAATCAGCCTTCAGAAAAACTTACAGCCAAGTTTAGATGTCTTTTTGAATGGGAAGTTTTGATTTTGGGGGTCTGAGAAACTTTTCCCTTTCTAAGCTCCCTTTTAAAATAATTCCCAAATTTTCCTCTTTGTGTTTTTTCAAGAAAACTAAAACCTAACCCAGCTTGCCTTTGATCCAGACGTTGCAGCCAACCAAAAAGAAACCCTGTTCAGGCTCCTGTTTGCCTGGAACCATTTTTACTGAGGGAGAATGTCTTTGTTACTCTGAATTTCCAGTCCACCAACAGATCCATCTGCAGCCCCCTGCAATCCCAGCCAGGCAGCACAGAACAGCCAGGGCTGTCTGGAACCCCCCTCCCCAATCTCTGCTGAAGCAGACAGGGAATGTTAGAGGATCCTGCAGGATTTTGAGGCTAAACCCAGATAGGGGGGGAATTTCTGCACAGAATTAGGGGTCACCCCGTCCCCAGGACAGAAGTGGGGCTGTTCCACAAGGGAAGGGCACACGAGGTGACAGCAGAGCAAGGACAGGGCACATCCTGCATTTGTGTGTTCAGAGACGGGCAATGAGGCTGGGGAAGGGGCTGGAGCAGCAGGAGCAGCTGAGGGAGCTGGGGGGGGCTCAGCCTGGAGAAAAGGAGGCTCAGGGGGGAACTTCTGGCTCTGCAACTCCCTGACAGGAGGGGGGAGCTAGGTGGGAGTCAGGCTCTGCTCCCAGGGAACAAAGGGACAGGACAAGGGGAAATGGTCTCAAGTTATGCCAGTGGAGACTTAGATTGGATATTGAGGAAAATTTCTTCACTGAAAAGGTGGCCAGACATTGGAACAGGCTGCCCAGGGTGGTGGTGGAATCTTCAACCCTGCAGGTGTTCAAAAAACATGTGGATGTGGTGGATAGGGGGATGGTTTAGTGAGGGACCTGTCAGTGCTGGGTTAATGGTTGGACTGGATGATCTCAGAAGGCTCTTCCAACCCTAATGACACTGTGATTCTGGGCTGACTGTGGTGACAATTGCTCATCATCATTCCTTGTCTCCTGTGCCTGAGAGGCGCAAACCTGTGTGCAGGAGGGCTGTGCCACAGTGAGCCCAGGGAAAGGATTAGTCAGGAATCACAGAGTCATTTAGGTGGGAAAATCCCTCAGAGACCATCCAGTCCAACCGTTACCTCAGCACTGCCAAGGCCACCACTACCCCGTGTCCCCAAGTGCCACATCCACACATCTGCTGACGTAAGTTTGTCATTCAGCAAACCCCTTGTCTTACATTGTGAGGAGCAAACTTGAAAGATTCGGACTTAGAGGGAAAAAGTGCCTGGTAGGGTCCAAAATCCAGAGTGTTGATAAACCAGAGAGAGGTCAGAGGTCAGGGAATGATTAAAAGACTGAAAACCACAGAACACCTTGAGAGCCTCCCAGGGCTGGAGGGGTTTGATTTATCAAAGGCAGGGCTATGGGGTGACGTGACCACGGTCTGTAAGAACTGTAAGAACTTGCAGGAGGATTAGGGCTGGGGAAGGGAGGGCTCCCAGGCTCCTGGGCTCCTGAGAGAGGCACGGCAGGGCACCTGGGCTGGAATCAAAGTCAGATAAATCCAGGGAAGAGATACAGTGCCAAGGCTGAGCAGGCAGACCAGGTTAACCACCGCTGTGCCAGGCTTGGGAGTTTGTGCCTCTGGCACCCACAGGTGCCATCAGTGCTCAGCAGCCCAAGTGGTGATGATTTACCACAGGCTGGTTCAGACCACAGCACAGCAGCCATGGCTGGGGTCAGCCCGTGCTGCTGGCACCCCTCATTCCTGTGGGAAGTGCCCAGGTAGCTTTGTGCACTCACCTGCAGAAGGTGACAGCAGGGTCAACAGTCCATTTGCCTCTGGCTCCCTCTTTCCTGGGATGGTGGGTGACGGATCTCCCTTGGAGCTGTGCTCCCCAGGTCTAGGCACAGCAGGGCTGCAGGGAAACAGATGGGAGTTAAGAGCCCAATTCCCAGGGAAGTGCAGTGAAATTTGTCTTTGTTATTCCCCCAAGGCTTTTGGCAGATTCCAGCCAGAGGAACTGTTATTGCAGGGAGCTGCTTGGCTGAGGAGCTCCTACTGTGCCTGCGGAGCCTGGCACGGCTTGGAATGGGAAAGGGGGCCCTCTCCTGTAGGAAACTGCCTTTCCTGATCCCTTTTCCCCCCTTACAGACACTTCTCCGTGATGGCAAGAGGGAGAGCATCATGAGCACCCTTTTCATCGCCCCCTCCGACATTGAGAACGGGGAGAGCATCGTGTGCCGCGCCACCAACAAAGCCATTCCCGGTGGGAAGGAGACCTCGGTCACCATCGACATCCAGCGTGAGTACACGGCTGGCTGGGCTTCCTCTGGGCACTGGGACACCCCAGCCTCCCAGCCCTCTCCATCCCTGGGGCTGTCCACAGGGCTCTGACCCCGGGCAGGAGCAGGATGATGGGATTGGGGGGGTTCCCTTTGCTGGGATTTACTGGAATGTTGTAGCAGTGAAGTCACAGCCAGAAGATCTCGTGTCCTGAGCTCCCTGTGGGGCTCAGAACACCCCTACCCCAGGGACATCCTGCTTCCCAGCATTTGTGTCTTGTGTCCCTGGTTTTGAGCAAAAGCAGCACCAGCTGCCCTGCTCTGGGTGGCCCCACTGTGTCCCCGGGGGTCTTTGGAGCACAGATGGATCCCAAAGGGTTCTGGGTGAGCAAACGGCATCTCCGGCCATGGCCAGCAGTGGAGATAATGCTCATTAAGACCTCTGGTGCAAAATCACGTGTTTCCAGCCTTACAGGCAGTTCACTGGTAGGGTTTTTGTGTCATTCTCTGCTGGGATGGCGTGTGAGACACCTGATCGGGGGAAGTGTCCCCCCCATGACACACAGGCAGCACCAGTCACCACCTCATGGAGACAGGTGTGTCTGAAGAGCCATATTCTTCACCCTTTACTTTAAATCCACAGAGCAAAATCTTCTTTCCCCCAAAATTCACATTTCCCAGGTCTCTTCCCTCCTCCTCTGCAGTAGCTGTTGCTCTCAGGCTCACCCTGACCCCCTCCAGACGGGCTCCATTTGCACGCCCAGTTCCTGCAGCTGTATTTACCCACAATTTGCAAGAGCAGGGTGTTCAATATTAACATGCCAGCTGCTTTCCAGAGTCCAATTAAAACTGGCTGAACAAACTCAAGCACAGCAGAAAATTCACCATTTAAGACTTGCAGCTTTTGCTGCCGGAAGATTACCGGGCTCTTGGGTTGCTGGCTGCATGTCCTGACAGAACTGGGCAGATAAAATGAGATAATAGCCTGGGTTATTTCACAGCCAGCAAACAGTTACAATGGCTGGAGACACACTCACACTCACACAAACAACACAGAGCTGGAGACATCAGTACACTGGGTACAGTGCGGGCAGGGGACGTGAGCTGAATCCCTGAGCCTTGTGGAATCTGCTTGGAAAAGAGAGAGACCCAATAAAGAACACCAATTTCCACTCTGAGCCATTAAATGCTCCATGCTGTGAATGTAATAACAATAATATCCTACCCAGCTAATAAAAGTATGTTGTTCTTAATGAGGGCTAATGAGGATATCAATCTCCCAAAGCTGGATGGGTGATGGAGAGAGAGAAAAATACCAAGATGGATTAACCAGGCTGAGGTGGGATGGGTTTTGACCCAGGTGCAAGAGCCAGCTCTAGCTGCATCTAGTCATAGTATCATGGAATCCTTAAGGTTGGAAAAGACCTCTGAGATAATGAAGTGCAACTACCAACCCAGTGTTAGTCCCTTGGGTTTCACTCCCAGCTTGGTAGACAACGAACTGCATTCACTTTGCAAAGAGCTAAAGGTGCTTTTCTCAAGCAAAAAAATTATCTGGACCACTCATTTTTTCCTGGGGAATTGTCCTGGGAAGACAGGGTGGGCTGTGAACTCCTCTGCAGCATTCTGGCAATGAGAGGGGGTCCTGCACATGGGTCTTCTTCCAACATCTAGCAGAGAAGCAGCACCTTGGGGGGAAAAAAGAAGTGGTTTCTGCAAGAATAAGGAAAAGCAGGCTGCAGTTGTTGCCTGGGGAGCTCTTCCCAGCCTGGCACAACCTGCTTCATCCCCCTGGACCCTGCACTCTCCACCTCCACTGGTGCAGGTTGAACTCACACCATAGGAAACGTTACCCAGCTGCACAGTTTGAAAGAGATGGCCTTGCAAAATAATCCCAGGGAACCAAAAATAATCCTTCCCAGGAAGCAGCAGCCTGGTAAATCACTCCTCCTGCTTTATTTCATTTTCTTTTGCAACTCAAAAGAACATCAGAAACTCTCATAGGCAGCAGAAAAAAAACATGCCAGGGTGGGGATTATTCTTATGGAGGGTGTGAACGTGGTGGAAGGAATTATCCTCTTTCAGCTGATGCAAAGTCAAAGTTGGGCTCCCATCAATCTCATGCCCGACCATTTTAGCAGCAATGAAATAGCTGAGTCATAAACCCCTCCCCTTCCAAATATAAAAATAAAGGGGGGGGGGGGAAGAAGAACTGGAAAAAAGCCCAGCGCGGGGTCTGTAATGGAAACACTAAGCGGCTCCAGCTGGAACATCTGTTCAATGTGATTTCCGTTCCACCAGCCACATCAAAGTCAGCCTCCTGTGAGTTATGCACCGAACATCACAAGTGGGATTAAAATCATGTTTAATAGTTTGATATGCCATAAACTATTTATACTGCAGGAGCCCAGTGGCTCCATGGAAATGCACACCCGGCGTGCCGGGATGGGGAGGAGCAGGGTTATTGCTTATCCAAAGCCATTTGCTCCAAGCCTCTGCACACACATGTGCACTTGCTCATTTTTACACCCTTCTTTTGTCACAGCAAGAAGGGATTTGGCTGCATCTGGGTGGTTCTGCAGGACGTGGGAGGAGGGGAAGGAAAGCAGAGGGTGATGAGGGGCACGTGGCTCTGTTGGAGGGTCTCCCGCTGCGTTTATCCTTGGAGCTTTGGAGAGTTTGATTCCCTTTTGTGCTTGCCACTGGGGAGTGGAAAGCCCAGGGCTGAAGAGGCACCTTTGCCTTAGAGAAGAGGTTTGGAAGGGCTTGTCCGTAGGGGAGAGGAGCACGGAGAGGGATTTGCACCTGGCAGTACAAGAGTCAGCAGGGTGCCTGCAGGCCATGGAGCTCATTCCCGAGGTGCTGAGATCGCGGGAGCTCAGGGGTTTGCCAAGGTGCCCCCGGGCTGCGGGGCCGGTCCCGCTGCGATGCCGTACCTGGGCGTGAGGGCAACTCGCCGCCTGTGGGCTGGCTCTGTCTGATTCCATCATTCAAATTAATTACAAGAAGCCGGGCAGGAATCATAATTGTAACCGAGTGGAATTACAACCTGATGAGTTACAATTTGTGTCTTTTTTCCCTTCAGAATGCCCCGAAATACACTGGCACACACAAACCCACGCTGTCCGCGGAACCCGCAATGTTCGAAAGCCCAATCCCATTCCTGAAAGGCGAGATCAAAGACTTTAATTCATTTCCTTCGCTCTTTTTTTTTTTTTTTGTCTTTTTAATCTTTTTTATTATTAATATTTTGAGTGCAAGAGGGAGCCGGGCTCATTTTAATACAAAGAGGCTCCTCGGTAAATCGTAGGCACAGCTCCTAACCCATCAAACAATGGGGAAGCTACTAAAGAGAAGTGTGATTCATACTTAACAAAGGAAGGTGATTAGCTGTTGTTGTCTAACAATAGGGAAGTGTCAGGATGCCTGGGAATGAATTAGGAGCCCGCTATACATCTCTGGGCTGCTATGCGAGGGAAGCTCATTTATATTCCCAACTGCGCCCATCTTTATTGTCATTTGAATTGCACATTTTAAAATGAAATTAGGGTAAATTGAAAATACCTATAATTTCCCCGTCATAATTTCCCATCAGGAAGGCAGGTGGCTTTGCTCGCAACAAAGTCGGGCTCCGGCTGGGTAAATGCCACGGGGCGGAGGAGGAGGCGCTGGAATGCTGCTGGAACGCCGCCTTTCCCACTCCCCTCCCGCCCAGCCAGCGGCACTGCCGGGGCCACCTCCGAGACTCCCCTGCTGGTGGCCTCGCTGCGAGGATGGTCCCAACCCATCCCGCACCCCACAGGGCTGGAATAACCCGGGGCTGCTGTGGATGCTGCTGTCGCACCGGGATGCCCAGTCAGAGTCACTGCAGCAGGACCCTGAGCGGGCAGCGCTGGGGGAAGATGGCAGAGGGAGAAGCCAGCAGGGAAACTTTAGTCCCTGTTAAACACAGCAACGCTCCTTGGGCTTGGTTACAGCCATGGCTTCACAGTGTCCCAGCAGGGGCCAAGGGATCCTGGCCTGGCTCAGTATCAGTGGCAGCAGGAGCAGGGAAGGGATTCTTGGCCTGCACTCAGCGCTGGGGAGGCCACCCCTGGAGTGCTGTGTCCAGCTCTGGGCAGGTCAGGAAGGACATGGAGGGGCTGGAGCAGGTCCAGGGAAGAGCAACAAGGCTGCGGAAGGGACTGGAGCACAAGTGCTGTGAGGAGAGGCTGAGGGAGCTGGGGTTGTTGAGCCTGGAGAAGAGGAGGCTCAGGGGAGACCTCAGCACTCTCTGCAACTTCCTGACAGGAGGTTGGAGCCAGGTGGGGCTCGGTCTCTTCTCCAGGAACCAGCAGCAGGACAAGAGGGCTCAGTCTTCAAGCTGTACCGGGGAGGTTTAGGTTGGATATCAGGAAGAAATTCTTTCCATGGAGAGTGCTCAGCCCTTGGAATGGGCTGCCCAGGGAGGGTTGGAGTTACCCTCCCTGGAGATGTTTAAGGACAGAGTGGATGTGGCATCAGTGCCATGGGCTGGGAACCATGGCGGGGTTGGATCAAGGGTTGGACTTGATGATCTTGGAGGTCTTTTCCAACCCAGTTGATTCCCTGATTCTCTGATTCTATGAAATCCAGCCCTGGACCTGTGGCACTGACCCTGCTCCCAGCTCTGGGAGCCCAGCCACCCCCTGAGCCAGTGGGTACCAACCATGTTCTCCGACTCCCTGCCCTGCCAGCTGCAGCCTTTCCCCGTTTTCCAGCAGGGAAGGATGTTGTTGGGATATTTAGGAAGCAGAGAGAGGCAGCAGGTAGAGGCAAACACATAACATGGCCTGTTTTAGGATATATTTTTGCATATGTGCGTCATCCCACCTCAAGGGCAGCAGAGCCTCTCAGCTGGGTCAATGAGCCCCAACACACTCTACCATGGAACAAGTGGTTCTTCAGGCACCCAAAAAACCCTCAACAAGGCCATTACTTTCTACTTTTTCCCCTCAAATGAGGTCCCATGCTTACAACTTAAAGCTGGAGGTCTGACAACATCAACCCCCCCCCCCAGACACCATGAAAAATTAAAACAAATCTGGATATTCTTATTCCCATCTAAACATTGCACCCACTTCTCGCTTGCTTTCGTTGGCTCTTGCCTGAATTTTGTTTGCTGCTGAAGCATTTTGATGCTTCTCATGTGAAAAGGACAGAAACTGAGCAGCAGTTGGGAGGCTGGGGGGGCCTGTGACACGAGTAAGGCCTTGGTGGAGATGATTAGGCTGATGAAAGAGCAGAAATGCCACTTTAAGCTTAGAGGAAAGACAAAAGATCATCATTACACAGCGAGATATTAAATGGGAGCGTCTCAAAGCAGGCGAGTTTATGTCCTTAAATGGGAATCAGAGCCAGCAGTCATACTATTGAAGTGAAATGTTACATCCAGTGGTGTCTGTGGCTCCTCTTCCTGTCTTATTCACTGAAATTCTCCAAGAGAAGAGCAGTGTTCATGGCATCAACCTGTCTGACAACCATTATATGGCTTTCAACTGAAAAATGGCTTCCCACTGCCAGAGGGCAGGGTTAGATGGGATATCTGGGAAGGAATTCTTGGCTGTGAGGGTGGTGAGGCCCTGGCACAGGCTGCCCAGAGCAGCTGTGGCTGCCCCAGGATCCCTGGAAGTGTCCAAAGCCAGGTTGGACGGGGCATGGAGCAACCTGGGCTGGTGGAAGGTGTCCCTGCCCATGGCAGGGGGTGGAACTGGGATGAGCTTTCAGGTCCCTCCCAACCCAACCCAACCCATTCTGGGATTCTGGGATATCACAGCATCAAGGAGTCTCAGCACTTTTGCCAAGCTTTCTTACAGCCAGATTTTGCCTTCCAGACTCAGAACCTGGCGGGCAGCAGGCAGGGAGGGATGCTGTACCATGTCTTTGGGTCTCTCAAGGGCTTGTCTCTCCCTTTGCAGACCCACCCCTGGTGAACTTGTCCGTGGAGCCGCAGCCGGTGCTCGAGGACAACACTGTGAAGTTCCACTGCTCCGCCAAGGCCAACCCCGCCGTCACCCAGTACAGGTAAGGTCACCCCCCTCATGGCACCACACACCTGCTGAGAGCATCTCACCTTCCCCCCTCCACAGCTTCACCTCCAGGTGACCAAGAGAGCTCAGCACCTCTGGCCATGAATTCTGGTGGCCATTCCACTTCCCCCCTCCGTGTTTCCCAGTGCCTGGTGCTCATTGTGGCTCATCCCCAAGGCCTCTGCTGTCCCCCAGCCGGGGGATGCAGTGGCTGGAGCCAGCCCCTGATCCCTGTAGAGCAGCAGAGCTGCTGTGGCTCAGTCCTTATCCCAGTGTCCCCACTCCTACGGCTCCCTGATGTCACACTCGCCTCGACAATGTTGTTACAGGTTGAGAGGCTCCACCGCGTTCTGCTGCATTCAGCAGCTCCTCAGTCAGGGATTCATCGGGTTTGGAGTGGATTAAGAGGCCTGGCACCGAGCTGGCGGAGCCATCTGTTTAGGGACATAACGAGCAGCAGCGAGCAGCGAGTGAAAAGTCTATTATGGGAAAATTCCTGCCTTTTTTTCCGAACACTCTTTTATGGCTCGAACAATGCAGCTCCTTCCCCGTCTCTGTGTAACCCTTCAGTGACCACTGTGAGCCTCTCTATCCACCGTGAGCCTCTCTATCCACTGTGAGCCTCTCTATCCCCAGGGAGCCTCTCTATCCCCACCTGAGCTCGGAAGGGCCAGGGCAGAGTGGCTGGGCTGGAGGTGTGTGGGGTTCCACGGGGGATAGGCTCTCCTTGGGTGGGGTGTTCTCCTTGAGTGTGTGGGGTCATCACTGCTGGCCGGGGTCTGCAGTGCCCCTGCAGTGGCCACGCTGAGCTCAGAGCGGGTCACGAGTGGTTGAGAACTGCGGGAGGAGAAAATGAATCGCTTGCAGCTGCAGGAGGTCTGGGGGATCCCTGCCTGCACCCCCTGTGCTGACCCAGCCCCAAACCTCCCTTGGTCCTCCTCTTTTCTCTGTGAGCAGCGACAGGACCCAAGGGAACAGCTGGAGCTGTGTCAGGGCAGGCTCAGGGTGGATCTCAGGAAAGGTTCTTCCCTCAGAGGGTGGTTGGCACTGAACAGGCTCCCCAGGGCAGTGGGCACAGCCCCAAGGCTGCCAGAGCTCCAGGAGGGTTTGGACAATGCTCTCAGGGACAGTGTGGGATTGTTGGGGTGTCTGTGCAGAGCCAGGGGTTGGACTGGATGATCCTTGTGGGTCCCTTCCAGCTCAGGTCATTCTGTGATTCCATGGTTACTCATCTAGGGGTTGGTGTGCGGATGTCTGAGCTCAGCCCTACCCTGTTCTCCGTGTCACATTCTGTTGTCACTGCAGGTGAGCAGATGGCTCTGCACTGAGCAGTCACTGCCATGGGCCCTTGGGAATGTGAGTGAGGGCTGAAACGTTGGGAAACACTCTACTCTCAAAGGTTTTTTTGTCTAAGCAAACAAAATATGGGTATGAAAAGCAGGGCAGGTTGTCAGCACACTCTGGGAGGAGACCATCATGCAACCAGGTACATCCCCATCCCAGCACCACCATCAGCTGCTCACCCCTCCTGCCTGGAAGCCCTGAGTGTGCACAGGCTCACCATCCATTCTGGCTTTGCAGCAGCATCCATGGATAATAAGAGAGGAGGCACCTCCAGGGACAGGTTCCCATGACCCACCTCCTGTTAGGCTCGTACAGCTTAATTAGTACAATCGAGTTTCCTGGTAGGAACAATTCCTTCCAGCTGGATATCAGCACAACAAAGCAATAATTGTGTTCCTGGTTACACAGAAGAGTTATTAATTTGAGAAGTCAATTAATGTCAAAGATACAAATAGCCCTGGTTTAATATTTACAGTTAGGAGGAAAATGAAGTGTGTGACGGGCTGGGTGAAGGGCCCACGTGGCTCTGACTCCAGCACTGATTCTGGTACAGTCTAAGGCAAAACAACCTGGTTCCTCTGGCCAAGGAACCAGGCAGTGGCAAGAGCCTGGCAAAATTTCTGCTCCATCAGCCTGATCCTCAACAGTGGGACCTTCCACATCAGCCCTGAACCCAGCTTGGGCTGGGTTTTTCCCTTCCTTGAAGTAGGAGTTTGGGCAAGGGGGAATGGCTTCAAATCAATGGAGAGTAGGTTTAGATTGGATACTGGGAAGAAATTCTTGGCTGTGAGGGTGGGGAGGCCCTGGCACAGGTTGCCCAGAGAAGCTGTGGCTGCCCCATCCCTGAAAGAGTCCAAGGCCAGGTTGGAGCAACCTGGGCTAGTGGAAGGTGTCCCTGCCCGTAGCAGGGGGCTGGAATGAGATGGGCTTTAAGGTCCCCTCCAACCCAAACCATTCTGGGATTCTATGATTCCCCTTGGCTGTTTCCACCCTCTGGATCCATGCCCAAGCCAAGCTGGATTGCTTTTCTCCACAAGGACAGACAGACCCACTATACTTCTCCCCTCTTCGGTGCCACCTTGGTCACACAGGGTGTTTGGTGTCACCTCTGGCTGCAAATGCCTCCCTCAGCCCCCTTCTTTCCTCTCACCCATCCTGAGCTCACAGGTCTTGTCACCCTTCCTGTTCCCTGAGCCTCAGCATTCCTGCTTTGCCACAAATGGCTTTGGGATTCGTTTCATGATGGATTTTATTATCAAAACTAATTGTCCATTTTTTTCATGTTATGCTTTCTTATAAAAGTGATTTGGGGGGGAGAAAGTGGAAGGGGTGAAGAGGCATGAAAAATTCAAGTATTTTGGGTTTTTTATTTGTTGAGTTCTTTCAACATGTAAACCTCACACAAGGCTCTTTCCCTACCACTGTGACAAGCAAACAGGATTCAGCAGCGCTCGGTGGGGCTTCCTTCTGCTTAATGGCTCTGATTGATGGAGGGGGGATTCACTTCCCTTCCAAAAGATCCCACAGCTCTTCACTAACTATATAAAGGTGGCAGATGTTTCAGCACTGCAGCTTGGAGTCCTCTGGAGTGGAACATCCAAGCAAGGAGCCCCCTGCACCTCGACCCTGGCAAGGAGAGAAGGGTGGGACATGGAAAGCCCTGGGACTGAGATACCTGGAAGTGTGAAAAGGAAGAATATGAGCTCAGTGCCATCCTCAGGGTCAATAAGGACCCCACCACTTGTGAAAATTACCTTGTTCTGCCTTAAAAACAAACATTAGAGAGAAACTGTGATTTTTTTTTCTCCTCAGGAGAAGGCCACTCTAGTATTTGTCCTATCTTCAAACCAGGTTTATTTTTAACCTCCCCCAATATGTTTGTCAGTAAACAGCTCTGAACACAAAGGCAAAAATGTCTAAACAAGATAAATCCCCTTTTCTGGGCATAAATCCACAGCCAGCTCTGCAGGGCCAGCCCTGTTCCCAATACACCAAGTTTGTTACCTTACTGGAATTTTTAAGAGGCAACAGGTTTTGCATTGGGTTTGCATCCCAGATTTTTCTGGCTGGGAAAAGCGCATGAGTTCAAGAACCTCACCCAAAAAATGCTCCTCTGGGAAGAATCCATGAACTGGAGTGTTTGTTAGGAAGAAGCCACTGAACCACCCCCACGGTCCTGCTGGCCAAGGTTTTAAGCCCAGACCCCTCACTCTTTTCAACAGAGGGGTAAAAGAAACAGAATCCATTACAATTCCCCAGAAGACAAAAATCCCTCTCCACCCCTGTAGAGAACAGGGTTTTGATGAAACTGAGGCGGCTGCTTTTTCCTTAAGAGTTTTTCTTTGTGCTCTCTTCTATAATACATCACACACGGGTGGGTTTTAATGCAAGGGAAACCTGGCTGGAAAGGAGAGCCCAGAGTGATCCACCCCCAGAGCCAGACTGGAAAGTTACAGCCTGCACTGTCTTCACTTCAGGGGGCAGGGGGTTAATGAAATTTTGTCAAAATTGACAGATTTCCACAAAATCTTTGGCCTCGGTAGAGTTTTCTAAGTCAGAATCCTTCTTTCTTAAAATCTGCTGGCATCTCATGGCATTGGGAAGCAGGCAGGGCCAGGGCAGGGTGTCCTGTGCTGGAGGCACAGATGCTCTTCTCCTTTCCTCAGCTGAGGACACTGGAGCTGAAATCCAAGCCCTTCTGCCTCGCTGGCAGGAGCCATTTCTTGACAAGGAGCATCTTTTTCCCCAAGGAGGTTTGTTTGCCCACGATGTCACCTGGGCTGTCACTCACGGGACAGGCCGGTGTCACTAAAATAAGTGGAGAGAGTCAGGCAGAGGCTGGTGAGGTGTCACAGCACTCCCTGAGCAGGGGGGTTGATGTAGGGATGAATTACCCCTGGCAGCAGGATTTTGCTCATTTGCATGTTTTCCCTCTCTCCATATAGAGCAAGCTTTGCACAGACATCTCCTACAGTTTCTGGAGGGTCTTATACCCCACCTGGCCTGGCTTTACCCCACCTCTGCCTGGGAACACGTTTCCTTTGGAGCTGAAGAGCAGTTCAGCCCACCAGAAAGCTCCTTGGGGCTGCCAGCCCAGCATCTCCCACTCGGCAAAGCCTCGAGGGGACCTGGGCTGCTCGGCAGCGCCTCTGGATGTGTCCCCATCTGCTTTAGCACCATGGACGTGGGGCTGGAAGCCCAGAGAGGCTCCCTGGTGTCCCAAGGGTGGTGAGGGAAGGCTGGCCCTTCCTCTCCCCTTGCCTCGAGCCCGTTTGCAGGTGGAGGGTCCCGGTGCCAGGCTGGGGCAGCGGCAGCGAACGGCTCTGACGGGCGGGCACATCCCACCCACCTTCCCTCAACAACCCGCTGCCCACCCTCCTCTGCGGCTCGGTGGACAGTTCTGGCATGGGGGGGATAGGGAATTTGGGAATTTACGGGCTTTCTTTTGCTGCAAGCGAACGGGCAGGAGAGGGAAAGGGAGAGTAATTAGCTGTCGCCGTTGCTCTGCCACCTGCGATGGCGAGGGAAATTAATGGAAAGCAACAGAAGTCGGGGCTACGTGAACCGACTCCCAACCAGGCCCCCTCTTTGCTCCCTTCAGATCTCTCTATTTGCCAATCTTCTCGTGGCTTTTGATGTCTGTTGTGTGTC